TCATAGGGTTTCTCACCTATACAAATTCGATATTGCTGAATTCGATATGATTTTAGTGAGAACGACTTCCCACGTTCTTTCATAAGGTTTCTGTCCTGTATGAATACGATAGTGTTGTATTAGGTATGATTTTAGTGAGACTGGGTGTCCACAGACAACTTCATTCACAATGATTATATGTGGGCAGAAGAAACCTTGTATATGCGAGCCAAGTCGTTATGGTTTCAGAGTTTGACACTGGCCCGTCCTCAAAGTATGCCCTGCTAGATCATTCTGAGTCATCTCCCAGGAGTCAGTCTCTTTCACCATTTGCTGTTATTTGTTAATAGAGTTGATTACAGATAAACTCATTGTTGATTTGATTTGCATTTTCCTGGTGTAGGAAATTGTCAATTAAATATTCCTTGGCTGGGATGTACAACTTTTCCATATATATGTGTCTGTCAGATTCTAACCAGAAAACTACTCAGAAGTCAAGAAGTTAGCTTCTTCTGCAGAGGCTTGATCTCTCTGGGTAAGACCCACCAGAATTTTGAGGTTTCTCACTTAGACGAGTGTATTTCTAGGCTAGGTATAGCGATTGTGCAGCAGGTAAGATGCTTTCGTTGGTTGTGTTTGACCGAGTATGCTCCCTAGCATCCGTACAGTTGCCTGAGTGCAGAGCCAAGTGTAATCCCTGAGGCGTAGTGTGCACTGGACCGGCCTGGGATTGATCCAAATCCAGAAAAGCAAATGCTGTAACTTGCATGGGACTGGATGGACTTCGGGTAAGGGAAGAGAGTCAGAAAGAACAAAGGGCTCATCGGGCAGTTTCACCTATGTGAGGTGAAAGGAAAGAAGGAACGAACCTAGGACAGTGGAAAGAAGACCAGGAGGATTCATCCATGGTTGGAAACCTGCCGCAAAGGCTGTGGGATTCCCAATGTCTTTGTCTTTGAGTTTTTTAATTGAATTAGATATGTTTTTGTGAGAACATTTCCGTACCTCCTCCGTGAAAATTAATGGGGACTGTTAACTGTATGAATTTAATGTTGTTGACTTAGTTGTTACTTTAGTGAGAAAGGTTTCTCTCCTGTCCGACTTTGATATTGTTGAATTAGATACGATTTCAGTGGGAACGATCTCCTACATGCTTACACCCCTCGGATTTCTTACTATATGAATTTGATATTGTTGAATTCTGCAGGACTGTCATGAGAAAGTTTTTCTGCCTGTTTTACATTGAGGAGGTTTTTGATCATAGTGACTTCCATATTGTTGGTCTCCGTATGATTCTAGTGGGAATGATTTCCGACATGCTTTACACCCCTAAGATTTCATTCTGTATGAACTTGATCTTGCTGAATTCTGCATGACTTTGTGAAAATGTTTTGCTCACTGTTTCACATTTGAAATGGTTATCTCCTGAGGGTCTTCTATATTGCTGAAGTAGATGTGATTTCAGTGGAAAAGATTTCCTACATGCTTTCTTGCTTTGCATGCAGCCCATCGGCTTGATCCCTGGCATCCCAGGACTCTGTCTCAGCATTTGATGTCTGGTATTTTGCTGACAGATACCAAGTGGTAAGTGTTTGTTATTTTGTTAATACCCTGGCTGGCAGATACTACTTGATAAGTTTCTTGAGGATTTGACTTGCATTACCCTGATCGTTCACTTGCCTGGAATATACTATTTCTTCGATATATGTTTCTTTCCTATTCTAGCTAGAGAACAACTCGGAAGTTAAGATGTTAACTTCTTCTGGAGAGGCTTGATCTGATTGGGTAAGACCCACGAGAATTTTAAGGTTATTTACTTATACAAGGGGATTTCTAGGATTGGATTGATTGAGAATCAGATATGATGCTTCCCGTGTCTATGGTCAACCCGGGTTTTTTCCATAATATCTTTATAGTTGCCTAAATGCAGAGCCAAGAGTAAGCCCTGAGCACAGTGCGGGCTGTTCTGGGGTGAGATTGGTCCAAATCCAGAAGAGAACATTCTGTAACTTTCATGGGATTGGATGGAGTTCTAGTAAGTGAAGAGAATCACAAAGATAAAAGAGGTCATCGGGCAATCTCACTTATGGGAGTTGTTAGGAAAGAAGGTATCACTCAAAGACAGTAGAAAGAAGACCAGGAGGATTGTTCCAGGGTTGGAAGCCTGCCTAAAAGTCTGGGGGATTGCAATGTCTCCCTGTTTTTTTTTGCTTTATAATTTTATTAGATAGGATTTTTATGAGAGCATTTTACTGCGACCTATTAGAAAATTCATGGGTTTTCCTACCTGTACCCATTTAGTGTTAATGAGTTAAATGTGACTTTCATGAGAAAGGTTTCTCACCTGTTTTGAATTTTATATTGTTGACTTAGATAAGATTTCAGTGGAAAAAATTTCCTAAATACTTTAGATCCCTCGGATTTCTTACTATATGAATTTGATATTGTTGAATTCTACAGGCCTTTCATGAGAAAATTTTAGTACGTGCTTTACATTGATAAGGTTTTTCATCAGAGTGACATCCATATTGGTGAATGAGATATGATTCTAGTGGGAAAGATTTCCTACATGCTTTACACCCCTAGAATTTTATACTGCATGTTTTTAATATTGCTGAATTCTGCATGACTTTCGTGTGAAAGTTTTGCTACCTGCTTTACATTTGAAAGGTTTATCTTCAGAGTGACTTCCATCTTGTTGAATTAGATGTGATTTCAGTGGGAAAGATTTCCTACATGCTTGCGTGCTTTGCATGCAGCCCATCGGTTTGATCCCTGGCATCCCAGTACTCTGTCTCAGCATTTGATGTTTAGTATTTTGCTAACAGATACCAAGTGATTAAGTGTTTGGTATTTTCTAAATACCTCCCTGGCAGATACCAAGTGATAGTTCTCTTGTGGGTTTGACTTGCATTTTCCTGATCTTTTCCTTGCCTGGGACATACTATTTTCCCAATATATTTTTCTGTCAGATTCTAGCAAGAAAACAACTTGGAAGATAAAAGTTAGCTTCATCTGGTGCGGCTTGATCTGATTGGGTAAGATCCACCAGACATTTGAGGCTAGTCACTTATACTTAAAAATTTATATGGCTGGAGCATATTAGATGCATACAGCAGATTAGATGCTTTCCTTCCTTGGGTCCAACTTGGTTTGATCCCCTGCACAGCAGATAATTTCCTGAGTACAGAGCAGTTGGGATCAGAATAGGGACCATTTGACAATGATGGTTGGAAGGGATTTCTCTGGATGGAGATGTGTTTTGAAATTGGGTAACTGACCAAACATGATGACCTCTCTGTATCGGTATTGGAAGCTGTAAATCCAATAGTTGAGAGAGAGAGACAAGATTAAATATGCCTGTCTACAGGAACACTTGGTGGCCCAGAATGTGTGGAGCTGGTAGAAGGGAAACTCAGGACATTGGTGGTGGTAAGTGTATTTGGTGAAAGGATGGATGTTGGAACATTGTATATCTGAAACCAGATCACGAAAAGTTTTTAACTATCTCACATATTCAGTTCAATTACTATGAATTAAATAATATAGGTATTATTATAAAATATACATACATATTTTAACTAAAAGTACAATGGTTAAGGGTGATCTGTACTTTGGTGCTTTCTAAAATGTACAATAACTTTGTACTTGAAAACTATATATGTTAATACTTTCATAACATGTTACTTTCAGTGCAATGAAAATGAAAGAAAAATGTAAAACCTCCACTGGTGGAGGTGGGCACTTTTCATTGGGAAGTTGTAATGTTGGTCGAGGGAAATGGAGACTATGGTCTGGACTGTGGTGTTTAAAGGTTATTTTCTGAAACGTTATCATTGACAATATTGTAAAATTGTATATCTTTCTGAAATTAAAAAAAAGCATTTTATAGCAACTGTGCTCTCCCTGATTAATTGATGGCAATAAACAATCTGCTGTTCTGTGTATACAAAATACAAACCAAAAATCTTGACCACTGTATAGGTTAAAACTGTTGTAAGCACATTGCCTTCAATGTAATAAAAATTAAATTTTGTGTGTTTGTTTTGTTGCTTTTTGGGTCACACACAGCAATGCTCAGGGATTACTCCTGGCCCTGCACTCAGGAATGACTCCTGGCAGTCCTGAGGGGACCATATGTGATGCTGAGAATCGAACCTGGGTCAGCCATGGGCAAGGCAAACACCCTATCTGCTGTGCTTTTGCTCCAGCCCCGTAAAAATTAAATTTAAAAAACCCTACTGTTTCCTGTTATTACCTACATCTGCATAATTTTTTGTAGCTTTTTGCTCAGACCCAGAGATGCTCACGGATTACTTCTGGATCAGAACTCAGAAATTATTCCTGGCGGTACATGGTGGACCATATGGGATGCTGAGAATCAAACCCAGGTGGGCAGCATGCAAGGTAAATGCCCTATCCACTGTTATATGGCTCCGGACCCTGCATATATGTTTTTGCAGTAACACTGAGTTTGACACTTACTTACTGGATACTGCAGCCTCAGTGGATACTGTAGCCGCCTATCCCATCCCCAGGCCTCAGAAATATCCTGCTATTGCATAAAAATGCTATTAACCCTTAACACATGTTACACTTGGATCATGTAGGGCAGTGTTTTCTTAGGGGGCTTTCAAAAGTGGGGATATGGTGTAATACTTGGGGGAGGACTGGAGTATCAGAGATAGTGCACTCGCCTTGCATGATGTCCACTCAGGTTTGATCCACAGCATCCCAGATGGTCCCCTGAGCCTTGCCAAGAGTAATTCGTGAATACACAGCCAGGAGAAATCAATATCACCAGGTGTGGACCCCAAAAGAAATCAATACAAAACAAAAAGTAGTGGGAACCCCCAGTAAGAAAATACGGATGGAAGGAGATATCATGGTCAGAAAACGGTTGAGAAACACTGATGTTGGGTTTCATCATAAATACCAAAATGTTTCTTATTAGAAGTTATATAATTTTTCTCTGTATAGTCAATAACCTGTGAACTGTTTCTATTTTTACCTGTTTGTAGGTATGAAACTTCACTTGGCTTAATTCAGGTTAACATAAACGTTAATCATCACAATTTACACTTGTTCGTGGAGGGGGCTGTTTCAGAGGTTTCCACTTTCCTCACTCTGGTATCACTGAAACTACAGGCCAAGGATCCACTTAGAATTTAACTCCCATCTGCCGACTCACTCCCACTTATGTATGGTGGACTTGAATATGGCTGCTGTGTAAGTCTGCGGGCCCGTTACAGGCCTCTTTTAGTTAGTTATTACTTGGCCCCTGTAAGCATCCAGTCTAACAGGAGCTATGAGGGTGGTTTTCAACCTCTATCTGTACTGATGAAAGCTCAGCACCTCTTACTTGCTCTCCATAGGTCTGTTTCCCCAGTATGCACACATTCAAGTAAGTGCCTATATGATTCACCTTGGGATAAGCAGCGGGGAATTCATCATTTCCACTTAGTACCCTTCCTCCTTGAGACCCTGTTACTTATCACAGATCTAAAAGGCTTTAAATGGAAACTAAGCAAGGAATTATGACTTTTCATTGGGAGGGCACCTTTGTGTAAACACCCTGCTTCCCCATTCTTCCCTCTCAGCTTGCAGATCTTGTGCTGTACTGTTTGTAACTCTGTCTCTATTCTTTCAAGGATCACCATGATGGTACTTAGCATCTCCCTAGATCTCTCTGGGTATAAACCCCTTAGCTGCCATTTGGACCTTGTGGTTCATTTTGGTATTTGGTGGACAAGGCGTTGGTCCTGGCTTGTAGTGGAAAAGCACCTTTATGTGGCATTTTATACTCTGGGTCCCTAGTTTGCTCACTGTTGGCTAGGACTTCTCATGGGCTTCAGAGATCCACATAGTTTTCACTCTGGTACCCTGGGGATTAAATCCTGTGTAGAATAACACTGCCACGGGGAGCTCAGGTTTATCTGGTCACACCCATCACAGTGCTCTCAAATCACTCCCATTCCTCTGTTTATCTGTAAATTCTTCTCTGTGCTCTCCTCCCCAGCCAGTTAATCACCTTTTCTCCCTAATCAGATTCTGTTAGCTTGTAAGATCAGATCCTTCTAAGGATACTGATCTTGTATTGTAATTTATGTCCTTTGCATAGTATACCTGAAAGCAATGTCCTTTCTGTATCGACACAGGAAGACAGTTAATATTATGTTTTGTAACTTGGGAGTTGATTGAGTCCAAATAATATTTACTCGTGGGCATCTGCCTTCTTGTCTCAGTTGCCCTTAGTTCCTAGCACCCCAAAAGCAGGGTCCCACCGAGGGACTTAATGGACCCAGGGCAAGCTATGGCATCGAAATGGGCCAGGCCAGAGCGCCACGATGCTCAACTATAAATTGAGGGCATGATCATAGACAAATGCTGTCATGATCCAAAAGTAAGTAACGACGAGACTAGGATCCTGCTGGGCTAGGAAGACTAACCTGGCCTGAGGACTCTAATATATATATATATTAGAAGAGCCTGGCAAGCTATCCGCTGTGTATTCGATATGCCAAAACCAGTAACTACAACTGGTCTCATTCACCTGACCCTGAAGGCTTCACCGACATGGCAGCACTGAGAAGGATGAGAAAGGAGAGGCTGACAAAATCTCAAGGCCGACCTAGGCTGCCACAACGAAGGAAGACAAAAATGATCGTCTGTACTTTCAATGCACGTACGCTAGCATCAGATGCATCCATCGAGGACCTGATGGTACAAGCGTGAATGATAAAGTACGACATCATTGGTCTGACCGAGACAAGAAGGCACGAATCTCACCACGCCGTTTTCGACACTGGAGAAGAATTGTTCCTCGGAACATGCGATAAAAGAGGTGTTGGAGGCATCGGTGTCCTTGTCAACACAAACTTGGCCAAGAGCATTGATTCATTCGAATGCCTAACAACCCGAATCGGACGTTTACATTTGAATAGATGTGGCTTACTGCCTGCAGTTTCTATCTTCGTTGTCTACGCACCAACATCTCATTATGATGAAAGAGAAATCGAGAAGTTCTACATGGAGCTAGAGAAGTTCTATAAAGAAGACCACACCTTCTACAAGATCATTGTGGGTGATTTTAATGCCAAGATAGGACCGAGAAGATCAGCTGAAGAACTTCACATCGGGACCCATGGCCTAGAATGGAACGAACAGGGTGAGAGACTGTCAGAGTTCATCATGTCGACCAAGACCATCCATGGTAACTCACAGTTCCAGAAGGCAGAATCTAAACGATGGACATGGGAGTCTCCCGGCGGACGATTCCACAACGAAATAGACCACATCATATTCAATCGATGGTTTTGCCTGACTGATGTCGCTGTTGTCCCAAAATTTCGAACGGGATCGGACCACCGTCTCCTTCGTGCAAAATTCTACTTCACAGAGCGGGGAGAAAGGGCTGCAAAGTTCAAAAAGAGAACTCCCAGAATGACCACCAACTGGGAACTCTTTGGTACTATTGCGGCAACATGGGAAGATGCCATTGTTGACAACATTGATGAGGAATACAATCGACTGGTTCAGCACCTCCATGAATGTGCGAGGAACGCCAAGAGAGAGATAGCCACAAAAAGTCGCCTATCTTCGAAAACTCTTGAGCTAATTCGCCAGCGTGGTTTGGCGCATGCCTCAGGCAACCGCAAGCTAACGTCCGAGCTTGCAAAGCAGTGCAGAGATGCGATCAAGGAAGACCTCAAAGAGAGAAGAGCAGAAGTACTGGTAGATGCGGCAGAAGCCGGGAAAAGTATTCGTAAGGCCCGCCTGTCCTTCGCCAACTATAAGACCAAGATGACTGCCCTCCGACATCCTGATGGATCCATCACATCCTCCAGAAAGGCAATGGAGAGGATTATCCATGACTTCTACTCAAATCTCTTCGATAGCCATGTCCACTTGCCAACATACCAAATTCCACAGGATGGGTATGTTGTTCCCAACGTTCTCCCCTCCGAAATCCGATACGCCATTTCATCGGTAAAGAAACAAACAGCACCCTGCCCAGACAAGGTCAGACCTGAACTCCTGAAGAACCTGCCGTCAGTACTCATCAATACACTGGCTCGGCTCTTCACTCGCTACCTGTCTGAATGCAAGGTTCCGTCCCAATGGAAAACCAGCAGGACCGTACTACTGTTCAAGAAGGGAGACATGCATGACATTGGCAACTATCGCCCGATCTGCCTATTGTCTGTCATGTACAAGTTGTTCACTCGAGTCATCCTGAATAGGATTGGCAGAACACTAGATGAAGGACAACCATGCGAGCAAGCAGGGTTCCGCAAAGGATTCAGCACCATCGACCATATCCACACAATAACCAAGCTCATTGAGGTTTCTCGGGAGTTCAAGATGCCGCTCTGCTTAACGTTCATTGATTTAAAGAAGGCCTTTGATTCTGTTGAGACGGAAGCGGTCATTGAAGCCCTAGCCAATCAGGGCATTCAAGCCCAATACATCAGGATCCTCCGTGAGCTGTATTGCGGATTCACTACCAGGATCTCACCATTCTACAAAGAAGTGATCGTTGATGTCAAGAGAGGGGTGCGGCAGGGTGATACCATTGCACCGAAACTCTTCAGTGCCACCCTCGAGAACATCATGCGACGACTGGAATGGGAAGGAATGGGAGTGAAGATAGATGGTCGGCAACTACACCACCTCCGCTTTGCTGATGATATTGTTTTAATAACACCAAACATCAGCCAAGCGGCACAAATGCTGGCCGACTTTGACCGTGAGTGTGGAAAGGTAGGACTACAGCTGAATCTTACGAAGACAATGTTTATGAGAAACAGCCTCGTTCCTGACGCCCCATTCGCTCTCAATGGTACGACCATCTCCGAATGCAGCAGCTATGTCTACCTAGGTCGAGAGGTCAACATGACAAATGACCTGGCACCCGAGCTGCGCAGGAGGAAGAGAGCGGCTTGGAACGCCTTCAAGAACGTCGAAGAAATAGCTAAGAGGACGAAGAACCTCCGGCTCCGGGCACATCTCTTTGATTCCACTGTTCTTCCTGCATTAAGATATGCCTCAGAGACCTGGGCCCTACGCAAACAAGATGAGAACGCCATTCAGGTCTCCCAAAGAAGAATAGAAAGAGCTATGCTTGGAATATCACGTTTCACTCAAATGAGAGAAAGAATCCGGAGTTCTGACATCCGTCGACGATCAAGGATCAGGGACGCTGTCTCATTTGCCAAGGTGTCGAAAATCAGATGGGCTGGTCACGTAATGAGATTTAAAGACGACCGTTGGACTAGAGCTGTTACTGATTGGATTCCACGGGATGTCAAGAGACCGCGTGGCCGCCCACCTACCAGATGGTCAGACTTCTTCCTGAAGATCATGAACGATCGGTTTGAGGCCCTTCATGTTCCTGGAGCGAACAGATGCCATTGGGCTACACTAGCACGCGACAGGGACAAATGGAGACGTTACTGGCGCCCGCTCGAGCAAATCGACGACTAACGGGAAGTTAAGTGATTAAGTGATATATATATTGAGATGTCCTCAGGAAGAACCAAACTGTAAGTTTATCTCTTGGTGTGCTCATAGAGAATGACATAATGACATTGCTAGAATTATTAGAAGTAGACTTCCTACAACTATTTAAGTAGATTACAAGATGAGGAAAGAACACACCCTTGTTGGGATCCCACCCTTGAGCTGATCTCCTAGTAATCTGGAATAAATCTCTTTAGATGAGATTTAATCCTTGAGTTAATCTCCTCCAGGAGTGGTCTTATCTCTCTTTGCTTATTTGTTAATGTTCAACCCACCTTTGTGTCACCACCCTATGTGATTGCTATATAAACTAAGTCTGTAAGCTCCAAGGAAGCTTGGGCTCAAGAGAGCAGAGACTGAGTTGAGGCTGAGGCTGAGGCCCGGGCAGAGGCTCAAGCTGAAGCGCAGGATCGGGCTCCGGAGCTTAGGCTCCAGAGGGCAGAATCAGAGGTGAGAGTGAAAATTGGAATAAACTACAATTGATACCGACCATCCTGGCCCTCGTTCGTTCCTCTGCCTGCCCATCGCCATCGACTTCCCTGAGTTGGGGGACACGGCTCGAGACTACCGAATGTGGGCGGCAGGAAAGATAGAGCGCCTCTGGACCTTTTGTAAACACACAGTCCTGCATCCTGTTACATTGTTTTTAA